AGCTCATGATTTGAAGAGACTGTCCATCATGTGAGAAGGCGTGGTGGCTCAGGAACATGAGGCTGCTGGTCACATTGTGTTTGCAGTCATGAAGCAGAGAGAGAGGAGTACTGGTATGCTGTTCAGTTTCACCTTTTTATTTAGTCTGTGACCCCAGCCCATGAGATGGTGTTGCCCACATTCAGAGTGGGTTTTTCTGCCTTCATTAAACCTCCCTGGAAATGACCACACAGACATGCCCACAGGTTTGTCTGTGTGCCCACAGGTGATGTTAAAGCTCAGTCAAATTGACAATTGAACCATCACAGGTGTGATCCCTCACAGGAATGGAGGAACACAACAAATAAACTCAATGCCTTTGCTGCATCTTGGATGGAACACTGGTACCAAGAGAAGTTCATTAAAAGGTTTCCGGAGTCAAATAATCTGTGGACTCTAACTTACTCATTGGAGAGTCACAGTTCTAGAGACAACTGAGTCCACCCCATTCCTCTGAAGCTGTAGATACTGTCTCTCATAGTCCCCACCTTCCTTGACCTTTAGCAAAACATGGCTGATTGGATATTCTCATGTAAATGGCCTTAAACTACTTAGTTTACATCTGAAGTGGTCTCCTGAAGGTCTATGTTTTAAAGAATTGGTCTTTAACTCTGGGCAATACAGAGGTGGTAGAACCTTTAAGAAGTGGATCCTAATGGGAGGTCTTAGGTCATGAGTGAAATACCCTCAAAGGAGTTTCTGAGATCTCTCTCTCTCTCTCTCTCTCTCTCTCTCTCTCTGTCTCTCTCTCTCTCCCCCTCTCCACTTCCCAGCCTCCATGAGCAGAACAACTTGTTCTAACATGTACTTCTGCCAAAAGGTACCACAGACCAAAAGCAAGGAGGCCAGTCATGTACTGAAACCTCCAAAATTGTGATCCAAGACAGACCTTTTTAAAGTTTCTTATCTTAGGTATTTTGTTATAGTAACAGAAAGCTGACTACCACAACTGTCTCTGCTGCAGTGAGTTCCTACTGCTTGGATTCCACAAAGATGGGATCAGGAGTCTTTAAGATGGTATGACATTCTGCTTTCTGCTAGCTGTCCTTCAGTTCTCTCAGGCATCCTAACCCTTGCCTGTTTGCCTTGCAGATGTGCAGCTAAGATTTTTTTAAATGTTCCATCTCTGATCTCTACTAGCACCTAGCTAATGGTGATGAAGAGGAAAGTGTCACTTGGAATAAGTGTGGCAATCTGACTGTGATTAACACTCTGTGGGTCTCTCCCTCCCCTCGTGGACCATTGGCCACTGACCCATGAGAACAAGGGGAGCAGAAGTGACAAATGGGGTCAGGATGGCCAGTGAGCACGACAGAAAAACCTTCCAGGGAGTCAGATTCAGTGGTACAGCTCTGTTTATTCAGTGGGGGTCAGGGAAAAATATAGTGTGGAGGCAGCAGCCAAAGCATCAGCTGATAGGTGTTCATAGTATGCTTTATTTACATGTGGCAGGGGGATCCTATCATCTGGCTATAGGGCAATGCCTAATTATCATATAGAAAAACCTGGGGGCAAAAAACATAGTTTTTCTTTGCATAGAAAAACTATGCAAAGGTCATATTCCAAATAAGGTCAGGCATGCATGCTTGGAGGCACTTTCCAGATAAGTCAGGCAGAGAACAGGAGCCCCCCGACCCACACTGAGAAAGGGAGTCCTTCCATATAGCACCAAGCTCCTTAGAGCTATCCAGACATGGTAGACTGCAACCTTAGCAGCAGGGTTCCCCAACAACACTCAAAGCCCTGGATGGCTGTCTTTGCAGGTGATTGCCCCAGCATTTTGATTGTGTTAAAGCCAGAAGTTAATTATCCATTATTCAACAGATAGGAAAGAAGAGAAATTAGTCAGCTTCTATGATCAAAACTACCAGATAATCTTCCTTTTTTCCTTTCAAAACTGTCTCTGATGTTGTTTTTATATTTTTCTTCTTATTTGGGGTGTCAGGGAATATAGTCACCTTTGACATTTGTAGGAGATTGGTTCTAGTATCCTCTGTGGATACCCAAATCAGCAGATGTTCAAGTTCCTTACATAAAATGGCATAATACTTGTATATAATCTATGCATATCCTCCTGCAAACTTTTGTGTGTGTGTGTGTGTGTGTGTGTGTGTGTGTGTGTTTATGTCTTCATGTGTGTGCACCTATGTGCATTTGAATGTGGAGGCCAGAGGTCAACATTGACTGTTTCCTCCATTACTCTCCACATTATGTTTTGAGTCAGAGTCTTTCATTGAACTTGGAGATTGCCATTTCTGCTAGACTGACTGGACAGAAAAGGATTACAGGAACCTGCCACCACACATACCTTGTAACCTGGGTGCTGAGGACCCAAACTCAGGTCCTCCTGCTGTGTGGCAAGCAGTTTGCCCACTGAGTCATCTCCACAGCCCACTCACTCCTGTATGCTTTAAATCACCTCCAGACTACGTCTAATACCTAATATAATATAAATGATATACATTTAGCTGCTGCGGTGTTTCTCAGGAAAGTGTCACAGAAACAAGTGACAAGGACAGACACAGTTTATTTGAATATTTTTAACCCACAATTGGTTGAGCCCATGAGTGTGGAGCAAGAGTCTAGGTCTCAGCTCACAGCAGTGAGACAATCCGACAGCGTTGTCTCCTTCTACTCCCATTGCAAGGACCCATCACAAGAAGAAAATAAAACAGTTACTGACTATAATTCTTGTAATGGAAACAAACAGGAGTGCTCTTGGTTAGCAAGAGTGGTCAGGGGACTTCTGGCATATATCACTGAAGTTGAATCCAGAGAGTCAAGGAAGAGGCTGTCAAGGGACGGCAAAGTGCGGGGGTGGGGGCGTTGTTTCACAGAGATGGTGAAGGAGGCACTGAGTTTTTGCACAGTACTTGTCAGTAGATAACTTATGAACTTAAAGTAGAAATATCAGGCCTCATGACTCAGCAATAGCTGAGTGTCCAGCTCTCTCCATGTACAAATAGTAGCACTAACAGAAGTGGTAGTGAAAATGGGGACTTTGGAGCTGGCCCCTGGAGAATATGGCCACTTCTCATAGTTGGGAGAGTCTCCAGCTTAGTATGCACAACCTGAAAATTCTATGATGCAGTAACAACCAGTCCACTGTCAAGGATTATGCCAAGTGCTGATGATATGATTACTAAGGACACAGGCATCATGCCTGAGATTGCATCTAGAACTATAGTAAGACATTTGTACAGAGCTAAGGCAGCCAGGAATGAGGAAATTCACCCTTCCTGAAGATGTCCAAATTTCCTATACATATTTTTGACCAATTTTAGAACCTGAGAGACTGTTCATTTTTTCAAAAGGACTTCATGAATAGCTTTCCATTCTACCCTGGGTATCAGAAGCCACTGAAAACCATTATCTGCTTCAGTCAGAGCTGCTGAGCAATGTGAACAACCTCCTTACACAGTTGTTTGATGGAAGTCAGAAAGCAGGTGAGTGACAGATCTGAATTCTGAGTTCTGACTTATCTTTTGATGCTCCATAGCCTCTTTCAGAATGTTATTTGGCATCTGTATTGGGAGGTGTCAGGAGATTAATGCTTAGTTTTATTAACAATAAACAACCACCTGCTGGTTTGCTTCAGCAGCCAAAAAAGCATGACTCAATTGATAAAAGGGATAAAAATGCATGTTGCATTTTGCATGTTGCATGTGGGTGGCTGCAGTTGGGGTTTGGTCCAGTAGTCCCTGTCATCGCAGTAGCCAGTACTATTTTGTTCCCAGTGGCTCCTTTGTCCAATGATAAGCACTGACACAACAGCTCTCTCTTCTCCTCCCTGAACCTCCACCCTGAGAGATGGTCTGACACATTTAGACAATCAGCAAGATAGACTGACTGAATAATGGATGAATGAATGCGTGACTCAATGAATGAAGGGAAAACTGAGCATCGATTCTACAAAGGCAAAGACACTCCTCTACTCTGTAAGAACTTACCCTTTAAAGCTAACATGAAATGGCAACATGAATGGATTAGTTCTAAGCATAGACTTGAGTCTCATCCCTATAAATCTGTGAGTACAAGGACAGACATTTGGGGTACCTATTTCTATTGATAAGATTTAACTAGAGTGGTTCAATTCCTTTTTAAAATTATTTTTATTTTTAGGCCCTATTTCTTCTACGATGGCTTGGTTCTAAACTTAAGCATACCTATAATTTCCTTGTTATATAAACATGTATTCAATGCATAATGTATTGGAATTATTTCCTTCCTTGCTTTCTGTTGAGTTCCAGTGTTGCACAAAATCAAATCATGCATAACACATTTCCTAATTCTTCTGGAATTTCTTCTCTAAAAGTTCATTCATGTTCTCTGCTATAGTCTAAATGATTGTGTTCCCCGCAGATTCATATGCTGAAATCCAAACCATCCGAATGACAGGAGGAGGGATTAGGTCTTTGTGATGGAGGCCTGGTGTGCCCTTGATTTCTTCCTAGGATCTTTTCTTTAATGTTCCCTCCCACCATGTGAAGACACAGTGAGACAGGATTATCTGTAAAGAAGAAGCCCTTCAGACACTGAATCTACCAGTGCCTGGTTCTTGGATTTTCCAGTCTCCAGAGCTATGAAACATAAACATGTGCTGTTTGAAGGCCACCTACTCTAGAGTATTTTGCTGTGGCAGTGTGACAATATGAAACAACACTTTGCTTCCTGGCCCTTTTGGTATGATCCAGTGTGGAGACCAAGAGACTTACATACATATGCAGGTAAGTTCTCCTTTCTGGGTTTCCAGATGGTAGAGTTCTCAGGTCAGCGTGGAAAGTGCCTGGTTATTAAATTAAGTGTGGATTCCCTCCCTTCAGGCATAGTCAGGCTGTCCCTGCCTGTGGTCTCAAGAGCAGCAGCCCTCAAAGTGAGGTCACAGCATGTCAAAACCTCCAGGTTATTTGATTCCAGAAATCTTTTAATGATGAACTTCTCTTAAGACCTTAAGACCCAAGTTCAATCCAAGATAGCAAAATTGTACAGCTTGTTTGTTGCATTGCTTTGTCAGGTCACCTCTGTCCCTAGTGATTCTGTATTTATACAGTGCTTTCCCTACGTTTTTTCTGTCTAATTTTCTCCATCCCTTAATCAGAAGGTTCATTTTAAGCTAATAGTTTTCAAATATATTTTTTAATGCCCTTAAGTACTGGGCAAGCAAAGGACTCTCAAGTCTCCTCAGCTCAGCTGCAGTCATATCCACTGTCCTGCATCTCTGGAAGATGATGAGGTGATCTTCCCTGAAAAAAGGGTGAAGGGTCTTCATTCTTCAAGTATCTGTGAACCGAAAAGCAGGAAGTTCACATTTCATTAAGAAGTCGTTTTGAGGGGCTAGAGAGATGGCTCAATGGTTAAGAGCACTGACTGGTCTTCCAGAGGACTTGATTCCCAGCACCCACATGGCAGCAAACAACCATTTGTAACTGCAGTTCCAAGGGATCTGATGCCTTCTTCTGGCCTGCATGGGCATTGCATGACATGGGTGCACTTATATACATGTAAGCAAAACATTCATACACATAAAAAATAATAGTAATAAAATATTTTTAAAATAATGAAAAAGTTGTTTGGTTTTTGTTTTGTTTTGTCTGAGATAACTCAGCAGGTTAAAAAAAAAACAAAAAAAACCAAAAAACACCTGATGCCAAGCCTGCTGACCTGGGACCCACTTGGCAGAAGGAGAGAACTGGATCCCATGAGTTATCTTCTAGATACACACACACACACACACACACACACACACACACACACAATGTAATGTATATGGGTACATAAGCAGGTGTGTACACAAATAAATAGATAAATAACTGTAATTTTAAAGTTTTAAAAAATTAAAGACATTTTCACAAAGGCCAGGCATGGTAATGCATATCTGTAATGCCAGCACTCAGGAGACTAAGACTGGAAGATTGAGAGAGTTCAAGGCCAGCCTGGACTGTATTTTAAGCCTCTGAGATTCTATCTTAACATCCTTCCCTGCAAACACACCCCTGAACAAATATAATTTTTTCCTGGATCTCTATAATCCTACACTTGTAACTTTGCAATGGATTTGGGAGTCTTGAAATTTTTACTCTTTTCTCTTACTCATAAAAATACCAGATGGTGTGTGTCCAAATGGGAGTGAATTAGAATTAAAGTTAACATTTGCTTTGGTGGGATGTGTTTGAGCATGGGATGGACCCTTGTATGTTGCTATCCCTCGAGTTTTCAAAGTGTGAAGTTCAGTGGAACACAGTTCATACCCATCACCTTCCAGATCATATCATCTCTCTTTTAGGTACCACACCATGTGACAAGTGCTAACCCTTGTCACTGGGTGCTGTGGATAGGGGCTGAGATGACAGGCTGTGGTCCACTGTGCAAGGGTTTCTCCTCCCCACCACAGCCCACACACCCAGTATGATGTATTCTTGCACTTTGCGGTTCTATGTCCTCACCTTGCTAAAGGCCAGACCCAGCAATATCCTGACATTGAGGTTGTCACCCACTCTGGACAACATTCCCAAAGTACTTTGGAATCAAATGAATCCCTCCTGGGTTTACTATAAATTTCCTACTTACACTGCATTTAGGGCAGGCTGTTTTGCTCATTTCATATTTATGCTGTCTCAGGATGCAGGGGATATCTGAGAATTGTTTGGGCTAGGAGAACTTTTTTCCAGGCCTGACTTCCTCCTATAAACAGAACTATTTGGCATCTGTCCATCTATTGTGAGGCCTTTTCCCTTTGCCCAACCCAGGCCTCCAAGCCTTGCCTCCCCACGGCATCTGCACCTTCCTCCCCCATCTTTGGCCCTGGGATTCCTCCTCCACCTGCCCACACTTCCTTCTCCAGGCTTTGCTGTAGCCATCCCCAGAGGCTGCTGACCCCTCTTCCTTCCCTAGCCAGCAGCCCTGTAACCTAATCACCCCTCGGTGCCGCCCACCTGTGAATGAGGTGGTTGTCCTGGCAGACAAATCCAATTAGGAACTGTGTTTTCAAAATCCAGCATTTATTCTGCTGGAGTCTGAGCAAGGCCCTCAAATTCAATTTAGCAGCCCATGGAGGCAAGATAAAGGCAAGAATCCCCGAGGTGGGGCTACCAGCCTTTGTCCATCTGGTTGCTGTGAGCTGCAGCTGGGACAGTAGACAGAGCCTGGGCTTTTGGATCAGATAGATTTGATTTTGAGGCAGGACTGCGATATTTGCTGCTTGCTGTGTGATCTTAGATGACTTGCTTAACTTCTCTGAGGCAATTACAGATGCCCTTCTTATCTGTAAAAGGGGAGGAGGGAAGCTGGCTTGTGGAAAACAAGCAGCAGAAATGAGCATCTGACGCCAGGGACTGGGGTTTGGCCCTGAGCTGCAGCAGCTAGCTGGGCAATGAGGAAGCCAAGTTTTAACCAGGGTGGTCACGCTACACAGAGCTGAGTCTCCAAAGCTGATTGGAGCAGAAGAGTACACCATCTTAGGAACCTGAGCTTGGCTTGAACCCATCCTCATTGCATTCTGCCCTGCCTATCCAGGGAGAGGAGCCACCACAAAGCACAGTGCCAGCACAGGTTACCCAAGCTCCTGACAGGTACCAAGTGGGAGACAGACTAGAAACCTGTTTGTCCTTTCTAGAAGTGGCCTTGTTTAGGGCCAAAGTGGAGGCAAAGTAGGCTCATTGTTAATTTCTTTCCACCCTTCTGGAAATACAAGGCAGCAGAAGCAGGAAAAGATCAAAGAGCATGCTACTGGAAACCTGGTACCCAGAGTGGATCAGCTTTTGCTTCTGTGTGCCTGCCACCACTTCCAACCCATTTGCCTTAGTTTGGGACAGAGAATGTTCAACAGAGGTAAACTTGGACTCAGTCTGGGTCACTCCTGTGGCACAGCTAATAGTCCCACACCATCCCTCTGGGAGTTTTGTTTTCTGACAGCAAATGGAAGACGCCCATGTTTCTCTCTAAGTGAAACTGATGTTGGTGCCCAGCAGTAAGCAGCTATGTTCCCTGCCATGTGAAGAAGTCAAAGGCTGGTGCTACCATCTTGGTATTTCTTTATGTTTGTTTGATGGAGTTAGTTGGAATGAGGCGTCTCTCTTTTCCCACCTGAAGAGTTCCTGACTCACTTGGTACTACATAGAAACTCCATGAAAGCTACAAATGCTGGGAAGGAGTTGGTCTCCTGAATATGAACATGTGTGGGTTGGAAGGATGTAAAGTATCCCCAGCTTGCTTAGGGGGGATGTTTGTTAATAGAGCCCTAAAAACTCCAAACTCTAAAGAGCTCTGAAACAGAAGCAGCAAGAAGCATGTCTCCCAGTGCCTGGACTCTGCCCTAATGGATGAAAACCTGGCCTGTTCGTTGCTTGGAGCAGTTGTGTTGAAGGTGTGTCATCACGTCCTCCTTCAGAGTGCTGGGCATCAGCTTTGTATCTGGCCTTTCCACAGGCTTCAGACACCAACAGCCAGGAGCCTCTTAGATGTGAAAATATGCTTATTTGGGCTTTCAGTAGATTTTGCCCAACAGTGTTGGTCTAGTGAGGAATGCAGGGAAGCCCAGCTAGTCCCAATTCAAACTATTCACCTTAGCAGTGCAGGGTTCATTCTAAGACAGAATATCACACAGAAACACTATGGAAGCTACTAATGTAGGAGAGGCACTTGGATGGTTGAATTTGAACCAGTGTCCAACAGAAGGATGTAAAGTGTCCCAGACAAGTCTGCTTATTTAGAATGTTCTGTAACTAGACCCAAAAAACTCCAAACGCTAAAGAACTCTGGATAGGACAAACCAGACCTTAGATAGTCTATGTTTTTTCTATATGTGTCTTATGATAAAGTTTAATTTATAAATTAGGCACAGTAGTGAATTAACAATAATAAAACAATTATAGCATATACTATAATAACTCTCTATATATAGATTAGATAGATAGATACATAGATAGAAGATAGATAGATAGATAGATAGATAGATAGATCAGAACCCATGAAAAAAGCTGAATGCAGTGGTATGCATCTGAAAAATGGGAGGCAGAGACAAAGAATCAGCCAGAAGCTCACAGGCTAGCCTGGAGTACACCACAAAGGGGCAGAAACAACTGGAGAGACCCTGCCTCAAAAACAAGGCGGAAGATGAAAACAATGTGCCTACGCACAAAAAATAAATAGATATAGATTAGAGATAGATACATAGATAGAAGATAGATAGATAGATAGATAGATAGATAGATAGATGAGAGAGAGAGAGAGAAAGAGAGAGAGAGAGAGGGAAATAAACTTAACCCTTCTTCTGGTTGACAATGAGTAACTGAAATCATGGAAAATGAAGTGACAGATGTGGAGGGAGTACTCCTGTGTCTAAACTTATGACTGCAAACAAGGGATGTCACTTTTCTTGGCTTCAGTCCCCTCCCTCTAAGTAGAAGGTGTTATACAAAAAGACAGGATCCTTTTAAACCAACCATCTCTGATTTTCCAATATGCTTTATAAACTACAGTCTTGGCACATGGAGTGAAATCAAGGTGCAAAGACTTGGTATGTTGAGCTTTCCCACTGAGTAAACATTATGCCCACAAAGTAGACATTCCCTTTGGTAAGAAAAACAGGAAGACCACCCCAGGAGTGGGAGAGATGAGGTTAAAGAAGCCATAGGCAGGGAGGCCTCTTTTCTCAGCAGCAAATAACCTTCCCTGCTGCCAGATTAGAGGATTGTTAAAAAGCAAGGTACTCAACACAGAAAAACGAGGGAGCCTAAGAGAGGCTTCAACATACAACTTTAGAACCTCATCAAGGAACAAAATCACCATGGTGGATAAGACTTGTTTCAGTCTCACTGCTATATTTCATAACATGGGGGTGGAATTTGGTAAGAAACCCAAGAAGTGTTCTGAAACAAGGTCTTAAAGATAGGAAAATCAGCTCAGTACTCCCTGATAGAGGTCAGAAGTCTGGGTATTTGTTCCTCTACCAATGTCTTATGTGGGGTGGGCTTACTTCCTACTGAATTCTTGCAGCACTTTGTGTCTATGTGTTTGTAACTCACAAATGCTAACAGTATGTGTCTAGACGTGGATCTTTTTTTTTTTTTAATGTGTATGCATGTAATGCCTGCATGTAGGTAAGTGCACTCATGTTGTACAATGCCCATGGAGGTCAGAAAAGGCTGTCAGATCCCCTGGGAGTGGAGTTACAGGCAGTTGTTAGCTGCCATGTGGGTGCTGGGATTCGAACCCGGGTTTTCTGCAAGAACAATCAGTGTTCTTAACCGCTGAGCCATCTCTCCAGCCCCTAGATGTGGATCTTTTAAAGTAATCATACCCAAGAGAAGTGAGCCCCTCTGGCTCTGTATCTCCTCTCTTTGTGGCTTGAAAATGTTTAATAAGGTTATTATCACTTGTTTCTGTTGATTAGCAGTACCACAGCTCTTACACTGGACTCCATTCTCTTTATCTATCAGCATCTATCTGTTTTCTTGTAACTGTTTTCCCTGATCATTTCTAACCCCATATTCTTGACTGTAAACCCTGAAAACTTTCCAAGGTTAACCTCCAGATCAGTGATTTCATTTTCTACCCTGTCAGTTCCCCTTATTTCCACCTCCATAGTGGATTTTGATTCTTTGATTGCGTTTTTTGACCATCTGTTTTTTGGCTGTTAGTGAGGCTTTTATTTGTTGGTTTATTTTGAAACAGGGTGTCACTATGTATGTGGCCTAGGCTAGTCATACACTCCCAATCCTTCTGCCTCCTTTCCTGAGTGCTGGAAGTGCAGGCATGTAGAAAGCCTTTTGCCATCCAGTCATACATCAGCTCTCTTTACATTCTACTTTCCTAACTTTACTTTTCATCTGAGCCTTTGCTCTGTGTATCCACCAAGTCTCCTTGAAATCAAAGATATTTTTTAAGATTTTCTTTTGCTTCCTATGGTAAGCCTCCTTCCAGACTTTCTGTAGAAAGTCTACCCCTCTCCAGTCTATAGAAGTCTCTTTTTTACTTTTTAAATAAGCTGTATCTTCAATGTTTCTGTTTTCTTCTTGGAAAATTAGTGAGGGCTTTGAGATATTTACCATGAGTATGACAATTACAGTCAGCATATAAAGTTGTGCTTTGTTCTTACACATCTCACCTTACACTAAGGGGATAGGTAGGTCTTTGTTTCCTGAAGTCTTGGCTTTTTCAGCATCAGTGAGGTACTAACAGCACCTTCGTGTCTGAGGAGTCTCTGAAGATATTGTCTCCCTTTGTCTGGGAATCCTGAGCTTTTCCAGGAAGGACCCAGAGTGTTTCAAGGGTGAAAGAAGATCAAGAAGACTGGTGCTTCTATGGGTTTGCCAAAAGATCTAGCCCAGAAAGGGCTGAATCCTCAGAGTCTGTAAAGTGGGGCTAAAGTTTCCTCAGGTGGTGGAAATGATTCATCCCAAGTACAATAGTCTAAAAGGGTCTTAGGTCTGAGGGCATAGGAATTTCACACCAGGTTTGCAAAATGTGCATTACCAAAGCCTGCCTTAAGTAAGCAGTAACCCAGTGGGTAGCAAGGACCTCACCTCCACAGAGGATGGGATGTGGAAGGAACAGTGTAAGGGCAATGACCTAGAGTCTAAGGGCATAAGGCCTGTTCTAGATTTTCATTAGCCCACTAAGTCAACTGATATCAGCCCCTTGTTCACCTTGGTAGGTGGAGGGTTCACATCCAGAATTTATTGTATTTAGAATAATCAAGAAATAAGACTGTTGTTGTTTGAGTTTTGTAAAGTATTATTCTGGATATACATAAAATGTTCTAGGGCTGGGCTTGGTGGCTCACACCTTTAATCCCAGTACTCGAGAGGCAGAGGCAGGCAGATCTCTGTGAGTTCAAGGCCAGCCTGGTCTACATAGCAAATTCCAGGACAGCTAGGGCTACAGGGAGACCCTGTCTCAAAAGAAGACCAAAAAAAATGTTCTAGGAAATCCTCAGACTAGCCCTTCCAGGCTAGCACTAATTTCTCCACTTTACAGATCAAGAAACAGGCACAAAGTTGTTAATATTACTTTCCTAAAGTCCACAGATAATCGGGCAAAGTCTGCATTCCAAAGACCTATGGTCAGGCTTTCAACCCCTACACTTCATTATTTTTAGGCTGTGAAGGTTTTGTGAGTCTTTCAGCTTTTTATTATTTCCTGGGAATTTTAGCAAAATGTTAAATGAAAAACGTCCTCATATATTTAATGGTAGGTTTCTTTTCATCGTGTCTTGAAATTGGTACTACAATTTCATGGGTGATTTTATAATGAGATGAGAAAGAGAATTGTTTATTTGCTACTTCTAGGAGGAAGCCGTTAACATGTTTTGTAAGCAAAGGAGCAATATAAAAAGAAAGAGAGAGAGGGAGAGAGGGAGGGAGGAAAGAAGGAAGGAAGGAGAGAAGAGAAGAAGGAGGAAGAAAGGACAAAGTGAAACTAGGAAGATAAATAATACACTTTTCAGAGTAATGAAGCCAGAGAATACAAGGACACAGAGGGCCATGCATTTGAAAATGACCAAGGAGTTAACAGAAGGGAAATGGGAATGGTGCCAAATATCTTTGTTACGGCTTAATATATTGTTGTAGCCATCTCGAAACAAAGTTGGCAAAGTTTGCTTTTGTATATTTTATGGTCTTGGCTATTTACCAAGTAAGACTCATACTAATAGTTATCGGCTTGTTTTTGGTGAAGTGTAATTTTACAAGAAACTTGAGTAGCCTCTATAACAAATGTGCCATTGTCCTCAGTTTTATTATATAGTAGGAAAAATATATTCGTTAGGCGATGGCCCCTCCTCTGCGCCAGCAGAGTGTACGTATGTGTGCATGGAGGCAAGGGCAGTTTCTCAATACTGTGAAATGCTAGTTTCAACCTCTCTGTCTCTAGCTCCACATCAGCCTTTGGTGCTGTGTGGCTAAATCTTTAACATGGAATCCAAGAAGGGAAAATGCAGTCTTTAAGTCATAACCCTCTAGGGAATATCAAATCATCACAAGGAAAACCAGGAAGTCAATGTACCTCCGACTTTGAGCTTCAAAGGAAAAGGGGTGATAGAAAACTAAAGCCTGCAGGAAAGCACGGTGGTGCACATTTAGGAATCATCGCACACAAATACTTACTTCTTTTCCCCTCATCCCTCAAGTGAGTCATTGCTTTCCTAAAGGGAATATATCTCAGTGCATGTTCCTAAGAGTGCAGTCCCAGAAGCCTTGTAACTATCAGCTGAAATACAGTTGCTTATACAAAATCTGAAGTTCTTGCAGCATCTGAGTCCTTTGACTCCAGAGGCATGCAACACAATCATCCCTGACCTGAGGTACAAGGCACATAACAGACAAGGGGCCTGACACCATCCTAAAAACAGCTTGACATGCTGTTCTCCTCACAAAAATGCATGCCACTTGCCATGAAATTCTGGTTGCAGCTTTGCTATACATTACATTCTAAGTATATAGAGTTACGTGTTTAAATATAATATATGATCATGCCGGTCTTGAATGGGATGAATGAGCAAAGAGTATTAATATATACTGAGTTCTGCCTAATGCTTTGTAAGTCTGTGGCAAAGTGTTCCCTAGTTCCTAGCCTCTCCACCTTCTCCTTAACAAGCCACCACTTAATATCATTTAAGTCAATAATATGGGTTGTAAAGTCTCCATTCATAGCATAAATGGGCTGTGTGCTCTCAGAGTCAAAGCTGAACAGGAGATGAGGTGTGTGGCTATTTTTGCCCAGATACAGAGCACAGAATTCATTTGTAAAAATTCTCATATGATCTTTTTGTAAAATGGAGTGTAATTTTTCCAAAGTCCACAAACCAAGACCTTATTAGAATTATTTGACTTATTTTTCCTCAGGAGCAGGAATGAAAAAAATCAATACTAACCTTTCTAAAAACAATTTGGCAATATGAACCGAGTCCAAAGATCCGTCTTCTCTGTGGAAATAGGGCTGCAGAAAGTCATAAGAATGTGGACAAAGATTTAAATATGAAGAGACTTATCAAACATGAAAATTCCCCATCAAATGAAGGATATTTACAACAGAAATTTTGGGCAAAAAGCACCTGTTTTCTCATAAGAAGAAAAGAGTTAAGGAGCTGGGGACTGTAACTTGGTGACGGAGTGAAGCACGGTGTCTCATTCTCAACCATAAAAAATTTAGATATAATAAATTTGCTGAAGAAGAAAAGAGTGAAAGTATAGTCCTTCATAAGGAAGAACATTATATAGCCATTAGGACTCATGTCACAAAATGTATAATAGTAGTACTCACAAAGTGATAGTCACGGATAAAAAATATAAAGGTATACTGTTGCATGAATTATGTTGGCAGTTTTTACTGCCAATTCTATTTTTAAAATATTTTTCTGTATTTTCCACAGTGCCAGCAATGGCCTACTAGTTTTATAATCATAAAATGATAAATAATACAAATTACAGAAGTCATATCAGTCTTATACAAAGCACTGGCACAGGATATGAAGTTGGGTTATAAAAAGCAAATTCAGCAGTCTTGTTGATTTTATTTGTCTGTTTATTTTGCCAGGGCTCAAAACCAGGGTTTCATGCACACTAGGCAAGTGCTCTACCACCTAGTTAAGTCTAGTTTAATCACATAGTTTTCTGAAGAATAAGCCCCTTACCCAGCAACTCAAAAGCCTTGAGTAGTAAGGGAAGCCCTAATAGGCCCTGGAGTTCTCAAAGTCTCACATGCACAGGACATTCTCCACAGAAAGAGGTTTATAGAGCCCCTCTGTCAGTACTTATCCTTCTGTCCACTATAAAACATGACCTTGCAAGTCAATGTTAGTGGAATGTGAAAGAGGGACACAGGGCCCCAGGTAACATAATGCGCTCAGAACACACCACAGCTCTGACAGGTGCAAACTCCTCTTGTCTAAATATAAACTGACTTGGCAGTTTGGAAACAGTCTCCCTCTTGCTATTCTGATTAAATGGAAGAATGTACTCTTCTTTAGTGCTGACTCCTGATGCTGGTTATTTTTATTTAGATTTGGTTCTGCAATAACCTTCATTTAAAGAGAAACAATATTAGAACTAAATTTTTAAAATTTTTTCTTCCAAAATCTTTACATGAGTTTTTTTGAAATGTGTTCGAAATGCATTAAGTTGTAGAAATGAGACATGAGCAATATTTCTTCAAAATTTCCAAGTGAGTAGCAACTTGATTCTAAAACATGAATGAAAGAGCAGTTTATATGCGAAATAGGAAAGAATTTCATACATGCATCAGTCTATTGTGATCATATCTACTCCCATGCCCCCCAGCTTTCCGCAGGCATTCCCACATTCCCCACTCAACCTCATATCCTCTTTTCTCTCAAAAAGTAGCCCACCGAGTCCAGTCAGTGCTACCCAACTGTGACTATGTGTAGGGCAGTCCACTGGAGCATAGGCCACACCCCTGAAAAAAAAACAGACTTCCCTGCCCCAGCAGTTATCAAGTGCCAGTAGCTCTCAGCTAGAGGTGGGGCCTCATGTGCCCCTCCCCCATCCATGCTGGACTACTGACTGGCTTGATCTTGTGCAAGTCTTGTGTAGATAATCACAGCAGCCATCAGTTCATGAGTGCAACTGCCCTGTCATGTTAAGGGCACTATTTCACAACAACACAGTCCTCCCTGACCTCTGGCTCTTATAATCTTTCTGTCCCCTATTCCAAGATGTTGTGATAGTCCCTGAGTCTTCTGGAGAGGGATGATATAGATGTCTCGTTTGGGGCTTGAGCACACCACAGCTGTTTTTTCCTGCATTTCTACTAGTTGTGACTCTCAGTGTCAACCAACATCTACTGAGCTAAGAACCTTCTCTGATGAGGGACAAAGGTTGCAGGACCTAATTTTTAATCCACAGAGAAGAAATTCTACAACCGACTCTAGAATTCTTCTTTATCTTGCTTTCTTCAATCATACCTCAACTTGACCTGCTCAGTGGCCACGTCTCAGGGCTCCGTCTACCACATCCCTTACTCTACACTCACCCTTGCTGCCTGCCACAGATATCTCGAGACTACTTATTAAGCTCCCCTGTTGGGGAATATTCCCTCTGGGCATAACATCTCCGTCCTGCAACAGATATTGCTGTGGGGAATCTACAAAATAACTTTCTAGTCATGAAGTGAAAAGAACAACACAGTAATGAGGTCTACAGTAATGATAATGGGGCTGATAATGCTTTTTCCTAGAAGGAGACTGGGAGTCAAAGAATCCTCACCAGAGATTTCAGCCATTACTCTCTCTTGGCACCCCACCTCCAGCAGCACATGGTCTTGGGGGATGTTTAGTACACACGAAGTGGAAGGTTATCCAAAGGTGAAATACCATCCATGCACCTTTCTGGAGGTCATGACCCATGCTAGGGTAGGATGCAGCTGTTTCTGTCACCCACAGTCCTGTAAATACACGAGATAAACTCATTGCTTCTCCAACCAAGACTTCTGTCTGTCATTGATATCCCATCTGTAGTGAATCAGTATGTCTCCCCAGAAAAGTAACATAGCATCCCCAAAACCTTACATCCGTTTGTTACACATCATTATTAGCCTATGTGCTTCTTGGAAGTAAGACTGTATTTCCCCCATTTTTCCATTTCCTTTTAAAATAATTTTAAAATTCTATTTATTTTTTAATGTATATGAGTGTCTTTCTGCATGTATGTAAGTGCGCCTGTGTCATACAATGCCCACGGAAGTCAGAAGAGGGTGTCAGGTTCCCCTGGAACTGGAGTTACAGATGGTTGTCAGCTGCCACGTAGGTGCTAGGAATGGAACCCAGGTCCTCTGCAAGAGCAGCCAGTGCTCTTAACCTCTGAGCCATCTCTCCAGCCCCTTGAAATATTTTTAATTTGCACATTTTCATTATACATAGTACTGGGTTTCATAAGACTATTTTCATGCAAATATTTAATATTCTTTGAGTCCGTCTTTTCATACTCCTCCCTCCCCTTCTTCCCTCCCCCTTCCATTAGTCTTCTTTGTTTCTCAGTTTTATTTCATACCAAGTATACATTCTTAATTTTATGTATCTATATAAATCTGGGATTCACAAATGAGAGAAAAAATATATTTGCCTTTCTTTTGGTATTCTTTTTGCTCAGGTTGTTTTGCCTGTCTGGGGTCTTTTGGTGCTTCTATATGAATTTTAAGATTTTTTTTCTATTCCTGTGAATAATGATGTTGGAATTTTGATGGGAATTGCACTGAGTCTGTAGATTGCTGAGTCTGTAGGATGGCCATTTTCATACTATCAGTTCTTCCAATCCACAAGCATGAGAAGCATTTCCATCTAGCATCTTCACTGACTTTCAGCGTTCAAAATTTTCCATTTTAGAGGTCTTTCACTTCCTTACTAGGTTTAGTCCAATTTATTTTTTAGGAAATTGTGAATGGGATTATTTCCTTGATTTCTCCAGAAGTGGTGGTGATGCCTTTAATCCCAGCAGGGACAGGCAGATCTCTGTGAGTTCAAGGCCAGCCTGGTCTACATAATGTGTTCCAATTTTGTATGTTAATTTGGTATCCTGCCACTTTGTTAAATGTGTTTGTCAGTTGTAAATGTTTTTTCATGAAGTCTTTAGGGTCTCATATATAGAATCATATCATCTGAAAAAAAAGTTACAGGGAGACCCTGTGTCAAAAGGATAAAATAATAATAATAAATATATAATATAATAATAATATAATATAATAATAGTTTCTTGATTTCTTTTTCAGCAAGCTGGTTATTGGTATACAGGAAATTTCCTTATCTTGTCTTATTGCTCTAGCTAAGATTTTCAATACCAGACTGAAAAGGATTGGAGAAAGTGTATATCCTTGCTTGTTCCTGATTTTAATGAAGCTTTGAGTTTCCCCATTTAGTGTAATGTTGGCTATAGGTTTGTCTTTTATAGACTTTATTGTTCCTTCTATTTCTAATTTCTTCAGGACTTTTATCGTGTGATCTTGGACTTTGTCAAAAGCTTTTTCCGTATCTACTAAGATGATCATGTGATTTCTGACCTTGAGTTCCTTGATGTGATGTGTTACATTTGTTGGTTTACATAGGTTGGTTGAATCATCCTTGCATCTCTGGAATGAAGTTAGTTTGATCATGATGATTTTTTTGATGTGTGCTTGAATTCAGTTTGCAAATCTTCTGGGTTTTTTGCTGTTGTTGTGTTTTTCACAATAATACTAACCCCTTGTTTTTTCGTTTCCAGTTCCCAGACTCATGGGGCTGCTCAATATGCTGCTGAATGAATGAATGAATGAATGAATGAATGAATACTGAAGCAGCTGGATAAGCCTTGGTACAAGGAAGAGGACACTACTACTACTGACAGCCTTGAAAAAGAACAGTTTGTAAAAAGAAGTTCTACGGTTACTCACCGCTAAGTCTTTTGGTTTATTTTTCTGGGAGGGGGTTGTTTTTAATAAGTGAAATTAAGACTTAAATTCAGTGCTAAATATTATAAAAAAGGAACTTGGTGTGCATTGCCTAAGGGGTAGAAATTTTCCATGCTCACTTTCTCTCTTTACTGCCACACAATAAGAAAGGACTGGGCCAACTCACAGGCTCTGGGCCTGTCTTCTGCGGGCAAAGTCCTCCAGAGCTAGCAGACCAGCTAGCTCTATTCTAATTACAGAAAAAGACTGCTCTTTTCAAACCCATAGATGCCACACTCCTACGGACCAAGACTGTGGTATACCACAGCTAAGTTTAGCCCACACTCCTGATTCTAAATAGTCATCTAAACCACAGGGAAACTATTCCCCATGGTTTCCTAGATCTATGTAAGAAAGATGCTTCCAAACCCTCATGCTATAAAATTATATTTACATGTCCCATCCCAACTCCTTCTCAGTTTAGGTCCCATCACCCTTGCCTTGCACACATTTTGCAATACCTGTTGGGTCTATTTTGTTCACTCTGCAAGCATGCTCACTACATTTGAGAAACATAGCCAGCACTTGCCTTAATTCATCATCAGCCTACTCACAGCTAACAAAAGGGGGGTTAGAGTTGGCAAAGGAACTAGGCCTGCTGCCTATCAATAACACATTCACAGGTGGTCCTATATCAGATGTTCCCATCAGGAAAGAAGAGGGTAATGACCATATGTACCCTTCAGACTTGGAGACTTGGGCTGGGGAAGCACCTAGTAAAATTGAAAGCTGCTCCTATATCCCTTAGAGTAGAAATTCGAAAATGCATACTAAACACAATGAATTTTTATAAAGCTAAACATATCCAATATGAGTTACTGGAAATATGCCCTTCTTGTGTTCTTTTAAAGAGTACTTTTAAAAAGTGAGATATGGGGGCTGGAGAGATGGCTCATCAGTTAAGAGCTCTGACTGCTCTTGTAGAGGACCCAGGCTTGATTCAAAGCACCCACATGGCACCTAACAACTGTGCATAACTCTAGTTCCAGGGGATCCAATGCCTTCTTCTGACCTCCGTGGGCATTGTAAGATGACATGACACAGATGCAGGCAATACACTCATACACATAAAAATAATAAATTTTTTTAAAAGTCAGATGTGGTGGCACACACCAGTAATCCCAGCACTCAGGAGGCAGAGGCAGGAAAATCATGAGTTTGTTGCCAGCCTGAACTACACAGTAAGTGAGAGACCTTCTTGAGCCACATAGCAAATCACTGCCTCAAAAAAGAAGGGAAGAGGGAGAATTTTAAGAAAATGATGGTGGGTTTATTTTAATGTGTTAACTTAGTAGTACTTCAGTAAAATTTTGTTGCCCTGTTTTGTTTTGTTTTTGTCTTTTTGAGACAAGGTCTCACTATAGCCTTAGCTGGCCTGGAACTCGATTTGTAGACCAGACTGGCCTTGATCTCACAGAGATCCACCTGCCTCTGCCTCTCTAGTGCTGGGATTAAAGGCATGCGCCACCACGAGAGGTCTACATAGTACTTTTTTTTTTTTTAAGTTGGCAATTCTCTATCAATTAGCAATATCCTAAAAGTTTATTAGTCATTAGCCTCCTTCAAGTGGCTAGCTCAAATCAATTGACTGCCCAAGAGAGGAGGAGCCACTAGTTCCTAAGGTCTTGTATGGCCTCAGAAAGAGCACAGAGCCCTGCACATGCTGGCAGCTACTACAACAAATCCAAGTCCAGTAATCACTTAAATATGTCCACCCGACTAATCCCCAGGCATATCTGAAGTACCGTGAGAGACTGGGGAGGGGTTCTGAGACCAATACCAATGCAATGAGGATTTTTGCTGGAGTTTTTCCATATCAACACTTGCACACGGTGGGCACAAAACAAGGTTCAGTGAGTGCTTGGGACACTATTGCAGGAGATGCATATTAAACCAGATGTGGGATGAGGGGTGAGGGGGTGGAGACCACTGACCTCACGGCCTCTCCTGTTGTGCATGCAGGGGACAGGAAAGCAGTCAGTTGTCTGTGAACTCTGATGCTAGAGGCTTATGAAGGCTGGCCAATCGGCGGGTGGAAATACAACGACAAAACCTTCTAGGCTTGGGACGCCCAAGACTGGTCAGGACTTTCCTGGCTAGAGGAAACTTTGCATGTACTCTGCGCTCCGTTGTGCGTCTTTCTACAAAGCAACGTTCTACTCGCTTCTGCAGGGTGGCACGGGTCCCCAACTCCTGAAGAAACCGTGACCTACCTTTCTCTTCCCAGACCCTAGAGTGTCACTCACCGCACATCGATCACGTGGCGGAGCCGTGCTCTCCCGAGCTGCAGCTATTGGTCCTCGGCTTTCGTCGCAAGAGCGCTCATTGGCGGTCAGGCAGAAAAAAGGTCTGGGAAGCGACTCTGAGAGGGGAGAGGTGGCTAGAAAGTTAAAGGGTGCCAAGGTCTGCAGGAGCCTGAGTTCAAGGTGTCGTGCACAGGGAGCAGGTGAGAGGGCTGCTGTCGCCTGGACGGATGCAGTTGCCCCCGCTCCCATCGCTCCCGTCCCAGCCGTTGTGGCTGCGGTCTCCCCCGCGCGGATGGTGCGGTGGGCGGGCGAGTCTGCCCTCCGGACTCAGGAGCTGCAGCGGGTAGGTCTCCCCCAGCCCCTAGTTCAAGGTGCAGGGCTGCGAAATCCGTGGTGAGCGGCGCGCGGGCAGGGCCCCTCTGTTGCCTGCCACCTACCTTGTGCCATCCCTCTTGCAGTGGCACACGAGTGATGGGCTCCCTCGGCTCTTGTTTCCACGTGAACTACCGCAGAGGCCGGAGCTGGGATGTAGTCTGGCGGGACCCCGAGTTCCTTGAGTTCGGTGGCCCAAGGGGTTGCCCTGGATAGCACATGTCCCAAGTTCAGGCGTGGCACTTTCTCAACCTGAGATTCGCCCCTTCTGGAGACTATCTCCAGAATTTTCCGTGGCGGAATCTGGAGCCCCAACTCAAGTCGCCTATCTCTCTGGGCCTCAGTTTCCCATTACTAGAATTGTAAGAAAACTGCGTCCAAATCCTATGGCCATCAAGTTGTCCAAACGCCTTCCACTTTGGTTCAGATTCACCCTTCGCTGCACGCTGGGAAGGGAATGCACTTGGGAAGGGCATACACTAGTCTCTCGGGTCTCCAAGACTGGGACTGGGGTTCGGATGATGGGACTGGGATGCGCGGGTGCCGCGAGCAGGGTGGCCCGCGCGGGGGTGCTAGTGCGGCGCTGCTCCAGCAGGGGCTGTCTGGCCGCCAGGTCCCGCCCCAGGGCGATAACTTGGGCTCCTCCTCCCTTGTAGTCTCCGGGAACTCAGCCCAGGCCCTGCCTCCTTGACACACCGACGCTCACGTAGTTCGGTGGCAGCAGTCACCCCTGCCACCTCTCTCCAGGCTCTCCCATGAGACCTGCGAGCCAGGGCCCGGCCTTCGGCGCCGCAGGAGAGGTAGGTGCAGGGCCAAGCGCTGGAGGCTCGCGGGTTTGGGGACAGGATGCAGGCTGGGGAGTGGGGGATAGTGACCGGTGGGATCCTCCTGCCCCCAGGGACTTGTTCACGCCACCCTTTTGAACCTAGAGAACAGGCTGTGAAAGAGACAGTAGCTTCAAACAGTGTATTCAGGTCCAGCGGGAAATGGAGAAGAGCAAGCTAAAATAGACTTGTCCTGGGAACTTGTAGAGTTGCCTGTGGTCAGCTGGTCAGGTTCACTGGGAGACCCAGGATCCAGGAAAAGGACAGGAGCTTCAGCCTAGGCAGGAAAGGAAATGGTTCATTCAGGTGAGTTGTCCAGGAGCCAAGGCAAAAGTGAAGACAGCTGGAGGGGTTACCACAAAGAAGACTCACTGTTTAGAAGAAAGTTAGTGGAAAGTGAACCAACCATCAGGCACTGTTAGCAACACAGACCAGAGCTAGAAGAGAACTCTGAGAAGAATCCTCAAGTCCAGAGAATTAATTTCTCAAGAGATACAGCTTTTAGTAACCTGATCATCTCAGGCCAGGACCTTTGGAGTTAGTAAATGGTGGGAACTATACCAACTTACCTCTTTCCTCAGCACAAATATTTATCTCCAAGATACTTGGGATGATGGCAAAAGGTTTGAAGTCTACAAATAACTTTTAAGTCTAGAATAGGATCCCCAGGGTCTGTGTACAAAAGGGAAAAGATGTCAACTTTGTACTGTATCTGCTAAACATTTGGGGAGAGAATAAAGAATTGCTAAAGGGAGGAGTGGATAGCCGTGTCTTATAACCTGGTTATGAATGCTTACCTAATGTGGTATTGCTAGTGGGTACTTGTGCATCTGGTTTTTCAGGGAGAGAGAGAGAGAGAGAGAGAGAGAGAGAGAGAGAGAGAGAGAGAGAGAGAGGAGAGATAGATGAATGAATGGAAAGCGACAATACAAAAATAAATAGGAGTTGTTTCCTATAAAAGACAACCAGAAAGTCAGTAGCTCAGCTGCCTGAAATTAGGAAGGTTATAGGGTTATTTTCTGTGCAGATCTATCATTCTTATAAGAAAAATCACTACAACTTCTAACACTGGCCAGTATTCTGAGAGAGCATATTATTTGCCACTAGTGGAACAGGAAAGGCATTTCTGCAAAACTATGTGTTCTGTAATTTTCAAGAGTGCTGGAGCTTGTGCATGTGGGCAAGCAACACTGAGATCCCGGACATGGCTCAGTATCTCATTAGGCATAGCTGACCTCTGAGGCATCCACGTGAAAGCAAAGTATGTGAGGTCCTCACTGTCCTGGGGGAATAGCTCCCATGATCCTGTCTTGAAACTGGTGTGCAGATCTTATGTCATATTCTGCTGATTCAAATGTGCATCTGTGTGCTTTGGTTTGGGTTTCTGAGGGAAAGGCTAGAGCAGCCAGGGTCTGGGGTCAAGAAGAGGCCTAAGGCACAGCCAAGCACATAGGGGTGGGTGGGACTGGTCACAAAGTACCTGCCCAGGTACATTTTCAGGGACTTATAGTATCTGCTGGACTTTCTCCAGTGCTAGGAGAGCTGAGTGGCTATCATCCCTGTAATAAGTATTGGGACATCCTGAGCAGAAAGTCAGGAGAGCAAACTCCAACCAGCACTTAGGTAAACTGATTTTTGGAGGGTGATCAAATTACTAAAAGCTGGAATGTTCTGTGAGGACAGCTGGGCAGCTGTCAGTCACGTCAAACCTTTGAATGAGGCCACAAGGGTAAATGTCCTCACCTATAGTGACAGTGACACACAGAAAGAATGAGGGGTTTCTGGGCCAGGGCTTGTGCAATTCCCTGAGCAGGGGTCCTAGCAGTAAATCCTGGGCCATCATAATGTTACTTTTGCCTTTTTCAGGGAAGACTCAAAAATGTTGGGATTGTTTCCTCAGCTCTGGCTCTGACTAGAAACTTGCCTCTCCAACCTCCATTCTGCTTGTTCCTACAACTTGGCAATAAAGGGAGTTCCCAGGCAAATTTATACCCTGGGGCCCAACAGAACCACTTCACCAGTGTCTTCAGAGTAGATCTGGAGGGCTAGAACTGGAGAGAGCACTTTCATGGCCTGCAAGAGAGCCAGGTCTTTCACTGATCCTTGTGCTTTGCTGTTCCCAGTATCTGAATTTTGTACCACCTTCTAACTATCTGGTTCAAAGATTTAGAAGAAAGTGTGGCTGAAACTGGTCCTAGAGCTTCGCAGAGTGCCAAGGGACAGTTGACCTAGTGCTGACTCAGGCCAGCAGGAAGCTTGGGGGTAGGGGGCTTACCCTATACCTAGCTTTTTAAGGGTAGATGGAGGGAGAAGCCCTGGGATGCAGAGCATATGTTGTGTGATTGTTTGGTTTTAATACACGTTTAAACACAGAGCAAAAAAATACCTATGTTAAGATTGGAAACAGAAGGTATAATTCCAGTACATTCTAACAAAATTTTGCAATAGGTAGAAAGAATTAAAATTCAAGTAATTTGGTAAGTAATGAATCCTTTTAAAAAAAGTGAGTTAGCCAGCCCATTGATCCTTTATAAATCCATCTTGCCCAGTTCAGTCAGAATTTCCCTTTCTGTAACAATCTTGTGCATGGGCAGAAGACCAGGACAAGAAAATTTGCCCTGAAACTTTTCAGTGGATTGACCTCGCTAGAAGTGAAGTAGTAAGACAAATATCCCATAAAATGAATATTCAAGTAACTATATTACAGCTGCAGATTTTTCTGATTTGCCACTGAATTTGTGTGCTTTCCCAAGTGGTCCTAGCTAAGTGCTTCTTGTACCCTCGAAGCACTACACCTTTAGAAAGAATGGGGCATCTTTGTTTGTTCTCAGTTTTTTTCATTATAATTTGTTAATCAAAATCAAAAGTCGAAAGTGAAACTACATACTGGGTCAACTGCATGGTTCCCTAGCACTTGTCAAAAGATGACAATAGTCTACCTGTTACTGCTCAGGCAGCCATGGTGGCCTGAGAGCAGAGCCCCAGCATGCCCCAATGCACCTACTCCCACATACCTACACCCTGGCTAGAAGAAGGCAGAGTGTTTGGGAGCTATAGTCTGTTTTGTTTTGTTTTGTTTTGTTTTTGTTTTTTGTCTTTTTGAGACAGGGTCTCCCTGTAGCCCCAGCTGTCCTGGAACTCACCGAGTAGACCAGGAGGCCTTGAACTCACAGAGATCCACCTGCCTCTGCCTCCCAAGTGCTGGGATTAAAGGCGTGCACCACCACACCTGGCTGGGAGCTATATTCTTAGATTTAAGATTTTTATCTAGGTTTTGTGACTAGCTTCTTCAATTTAGACCATTGTAACTGTCATATAAATCTGCCATAGTCGTAAGAACGATTAAAAAGTGCTCAGCTCTAATGATGTAATAGTATCAGGGTACTTTTAGCAAACCTTAAAGTCTTTGAGTGCTTTTTTAAAGTTTGTTTTTTTTCTGATTATAAAAGCAGTATCATTTTAGAAGATAAAAGAATACACAAAACAGGAAACAACTTTAATGAAATTCTGTCACCTGGATATTCTGACATTTTAAACCATAGAATAGTCCCCTGTTGTCTGCAGGAGACACATTATGAGCCTGAAAGTCAGTGGCAGTAGCAAATCTTGTGTGTACTACACTCTTCCCTAGATGTCCTGCAACATTGCCTACAGTTCCAGAATTCATCTGTCTTTTCATGTTGCATGTTCAAGTTGCCTCCCTTGCATCACTACTCCTAAGCTTTGGGGTCAAAATAAAAGTTCCTTGATCACCAGCACTGTGATGCTTCAATTGTCTGATACCTGAAGTGGCTACTAAGTCACTGATGAACAGGTAGTGTATACATTATGGATATGTTGGCTAAGGCAATGATTGACTTCCCAGGAGGCAGTGGGACCCAACCAGGTGGGGTGGCCTCATACAACTTGGAATGGTGCACAATTTACACTTACCAGTTGCTTACTTTAGGAATTTTCCATTTAATATTTTTGGACCATGGTTGACTACAAAGAAGTGACACCATGGGAAACAAAACAGGCAGGGTACACTGTATCTCTACTTATTTTTTAAATACATACACATTCTATAATTTCTCTCATATTTGGAATTTATATACAATTTTATCTCCTCTATTTTTCACATTAATATTATATTATAAAATTTTAACTGAGTAGTAGCAGTGCACACCTTTAATCCCAGCACTTGGGAGACAGAGGCAGGCTGATTGATCTCTTTGAGTTCCAGGATAGGCAGGGTTACATAGTGAAACACTACCTCAAAAACCAATAATACAGGGGCTGGAGAGATGACTGAGGGGTTAAGAACACTGGCTGTTCTTGCAGAAGACCCGGGTTTGAATCCCAGCCCCCACATGGCAGCTAACAACTGTCTGTAACTTCAGTTCCAGGGGATCCGAAAGCCTCTTCTTTCTTCCAAGGGCATTGCACAACATGGTGTACTTACCTACATGCAGGCAATACACACATACACATAAGAATAATAAAAAAAAATTTTAAGAATTTTTTAAAAAATAATACAAAAAAGTTAAAACCAAATAAAAAATTTCCATGCCATTTAAACTTTTTCAAATAATGAAGTTAGTGATATAAAATTAAGCGATATGGATTTAGTACAGCAGATTTATGTGGTATGATAGATTTTACCAGGTATCTCTTAGTGGGTATTCTTTTTCTCATTATTTCTTTTCCTGTAGTGATGTACAAAACATTTTATTACATTAGTTTCTGTGTATTTTATTTACCTAGGTAATGATTTCATATATGATTAAATGATATTTATTACATATAAAATGATAACATTTACATTATAGCAATTTTGATTATAAAATATTTTGTTTTTTATAATTCTTTCCTAACCCAATAGGTAAAAACAAAAATCCAATATGTTAAAAATGTAAATTTCTTTACCTTTTTTTATTTTTAAGCTTAATTAATTAATTTTAGTCAGAATCTCACTGTGCACCCAGGTAGGCCTTGAGCTTGCAGTCTTCCTGCCTTGATGTCTGAATAGGTGGGTTACAGGCATGCACCATCGTGCTCAACTTCTCAGTCTCTTAAATTACTTTTTTGAGACAGGGTCTCCTTGTAATCTCAGCTGGCTTGGAACTCACTCAATACGTAGACCGGGTTGGCCTCCATCTAACAGAGATACACCTGCCTCTGCCTCCTGAATGCTGGAATTAAAGACAAGTGCCACCACATTCAGCTCTTACATTACTGTTAAGGTTGGATATTTTTTGTATTCATGGGCCACTCTTAAATCTCTTTGGTGAATTATCTATTAATGTTCTTTTTCTTTGCTCATTTTTCTATGTGTACTTTTGAACTTTGTTACTGCTTTGTAAGATCTCTGTATTTTAAGGTGCTACCTCTATCATCATGCTTCTTGTAAAATATTTTCCCACTTTGTCTTTAAAAATAGTTTTAATTAAGTCAGATTTACTATCTTTTAGAATGATTTTATTTTCTATTTATTTACTTATTATTTATTTTGGTCTTTTTGAGACAGGGTCTCCCTGTAGCCCCAGCTGGCTTGGAACTTGCTATGTAGACCAGGCTAGACTCATAGACCAGAGTGGCGTCATACAGAGAGCAGCCTGCCTCTGCCTCCCAATTCTGCAAACAGTAGGAACCCATAATTCTTAATGCCCCTTTCATAATGCCCCTGATAGCATACTGAGGGGCCCAGGACATCCTGACAGAAAAAATCCCAAATTCTGGGATTAAAGGTATGTGCCACCATGCCCAGCCTGCTTTTTATTCTTATAACAACTGTTTTCATCTATGGATAAGGCAAATGTGTGTTTGACAAAGTTTAGAAAACTAAACTACTCATAGTTTTTTTTTAAAAGAAAGCTAGTCTAGAACATAAAAATCTCCCAGAAGTTTAGTGAAAACAAGTTTGTGTCCATTTTCACCATTGACTCTGGTATACAGAGTAATGTCTGGCATACAGTAAACACAAAGCCAATGTTTATGTTATGAATTTGTGTGCTTTCATATTGAATTAAATCAGTATTTATTATTGAAGCCATAAAGAGATCACACTTCATACCTGTTAGAGTGGTTATCTTTCAAAAAGATAAATGTTAACAAGTGTTGAAGAAGATATGGAGAAAAGAAATCCTTGTATACTGCTAGTGGGAATGCAAATTAATGCTGCCACTGCAGAAGATATACTATAGAGTTTTCTCAAGAAATTAAAAATAAAATGACTTTGTGACCTAGTAACCTCACAGGGTATATAGTTAAAAGATATGAAGTCAGTATGTTGAAGAAATATCCAAACTCCCATGTTCGTTGTAATACCATTCCCAATAGCCAAGATATGGAATCAAGCTAAGTGTCTATTGGTGGATAAATAAAATGTGATACACACACACACACACACACACACACACACACACACACACAGTAGAATGTTGTTCAGCCATAGACAAGAATGAAATCTTGTCATTTGTAGAAATATGGAGATGAACCTGGAGGGTACCATGTTAAGTGCCATGTGCCAGTCATGCAGAAGCTTAAAAAGAAAAAAAAGAAAGAAATACACTGAAACAGAAAATAGAATGATGGCTACCAGATGCGCTGGGCATTGAGAGACTGGGGAGCTGTCAATCAAACTCCATTACATCATAGTGACTATAGTTAATGACAGCATATACCTGAAAATTGCTGAGTAGATTTTAAATGTTCTCACCACACAAGTATAAAAAGAAAAGTGCATGTTAAGTAGTTTAGCCATTCCCCAATTGACACATATATCAGAATACCATGCTCTACTCCATAAATGCAGTTTTTAAAATTTTTATTACATGTGTTTATTTGGTGTGTATGAATGTGTACGGATGTGTGCCATAGCACATATGTGGAGATTAGAGGACAATTTGTGAGAGCTAATTTGTGGGGTTCAGTGATGGACCCCTTCCATCACTAGGTCTTAGGGACTGAACTTGGGTTATGAGGCTTGGAGCAAGCACCTTCACCTGATGAGCCATTGCACCAGCTCCAAAATATGAACAGTTTTTACTTATCAGTTAATAATAGATCCTTGATACTTATCAAGTATGCTCTGCAGGGCAGCTATATGTAGGCTATACGCCACTAATAAGGGGGTTCTTTTAGTCAAATAAGTAAGGAATTCTGCAAACAGTAGGAACCCATAATTCTTAATGCCCCTTTCATAATGCCCCTGATAGCATACTGAGGGGCCCAGGACATCCTGACAGAAAAAAAACATGAATTCACTTTGAAACTATTGCCTTCTGTGCTTTTTGTTGGTTGGTTTTGATCGCAGCCGTCTCCCCACCAATCTTACACTTAATTGTCCCTGAAGCCTCTGTCCCGTCAGCCCACACAGGAGTGAACACTGGACAGTGGCCACTTGAGCCCAGATGAAAGGCAACATTGTTTGCTAGTCTCTGCCTGAATGAGGGTTTAAACATTTATCTGATCTCTTTACTGTTTTCTTTCCTCGCCTTTTTGCAGAGCTCTAGCCTATTCGTCTAGCCCCGTGATGGCTGTGGACATAGAATACAGATACAGCAACATGGGTCCCTCTCTGCGCCCGGAGCGCTTTGCCTTCAAGATCTCCCCCAAGCTGAGCAAGCCGCTGCGGCCTTGTATTCAGCTGGGCAGCAAGGATGAAGCCAGTGGAGTGGTGGTCCCCACAGCACAGGAGAAGAAAGTGAAAAAGCGGGTGTCCTTTGCCGACAATCAGGGGCTGGCTCTGACAATGGTCAAAGTGTTCTCAGAATTTGATGACCCACTAGATATTCCATTTAACATCACTGAACTCCTAGACAGCATCGTGAGTCTGACGACAGCAGAGAGTGAGAGCTTTGTTTTGGACTTTTCACAGCCTTCTGCAGATTACTTAGACTTTAGAAATCGACTTCAGACCAACCATGTTTGCCTGGAAAACTGTGTGTTGAAGGATAAAGCCATCGCAGGCACCGTGAAGGTGCAGAACCTTGCATTTGAAAAGATTGTCAAGATCAGAATGACATTTGACACTTGGAAGAGCTTCACAGACTTCCCTTGTCACTATGTGAAGGACACATATGCTGGTTCAGACAGAGACACATTCTCTTTTGACATCAGCTTACCCGAGAAGATTCAGTCCTATGAAAGAATGGAGTTTGCTGTGTGTTATGAGTGTAATGGCCAGGCATACTGGGACAGCAACAAAGGCAAAAACTACAGGATCACCCGGGCCGAACTACGATCCACTCAGGGAACGGTTGAGCCACACAATAGACCAGATTTTGGAATATCCTTTGACCAGTTTGGAAGCCCTCGGTGTTCCTACGGTCTGTTTCCAGAGTGGCCTAGTTACCTGGGGTATGAAAAGCTGGGGCCCTACTATTAGTGACTGCAGATGACAGGTTGAGGCTCTGGTCAAGATAGAGGAGAGAAACCAAGAGAGGAGCACAGTTGAACTGCCATTAGGCATGGTTTCTGAAAGAAAAGGATCCTGTTCACTTTTTTCTTAAACCAGCAAGCTCAGCCAGGTTTCCATTATGGCTGGTTTCTTGCTCAGAGGTGAGGAGGTGTGCTGGTCCTCTGTGGTACCTGGTGGCCACAAGAGAACGCTTAGGATGGTGCAAGAAGGGTCTGGAGAGGAGCCAAGCATGTAGTGCTGGCAAGAATGGAGGAACCTGGCCTCTCCTACCCTTGGACATGTGGAAAGGCAGTCACCCAGAAGTCACTCAGCCTCCAGCCTCCTCCGACAGACCCTTAACCATTCACCTCTGGGTGACTGGTCCCAGCGACCCACTCCTGCATATTACTGCGGTTCCATGTCTACTCAGAGCCAACTTTCTGTCGGTGCTGGCCTGATGCCTCACGTTCCTAACACAGCTTCAGAAGAGGGATAGGAGCAGTGCTTTCTGTGAAGTTCATTCTTTGCATTTCATTTTCTTCCACAGTCCATCCAATGTTCCAGCAAAGATAATAAAGCAAATAGCTTGTGGCTGAGTTAGACATTTCCTCTCCCTCAACCTGGCCCCACTTGTATATTTCAGCAGAGAGCAATACACCAGTTACTGGAACATCACTGGTCTCCATACGGGGTCATGGATTGCAGCATTGTGACAAAGTGGGACAGTTGTGAGTTTTAGCTTTTCCTCTTGGTTTTCGGGGAGGAGCTGTCTAAGCACTCACTTTCAACTGAGCTACCAGAAGGCTCAGTGACAAGATCATTTTCACTTGCCTGGCTGGTATATGAGCTTCTTTCTTATGAGAGAAGAATCATAGCTCTCCTTTCCTGGAGAGTCCACTTCCAAGCGTGCTTAGGACATTTGAATGGCACAGCCAACATATCCTCTTAGCTTCCATAAAATGCTCAAATTTGTCTGCAATGTGTAATATTCAGGACACTTTATAAGCACCCAAAGACATTGACTGGGTGTTATTTACAGTGTGTCTGAAAAGAGATAGAGGAGAAGAACCTCACCAAGTTTTCCTGTTATTTTAAATGCCAACTCTGGAGTGTCAGAGATTAGTTGTTTTGAACCATATTGGACTACAATGCATGACCAAATGCAATTGAGAGACTCCTAGAACATTCACTGTTGGGTGGATTCCCCTAAACCTGTGATTTTTTTTTTCCTGAGCAAGATAAGATTACTTATTATTTAGGGGAGTTTGAAAGATATTTTTACATGCATATTTGTAGAAGTCGGGGAGAGGGTGTTTGAAGTTTGTAAAATGCCTGTTTTTCTTACTAAAGGAGGTCTCCCTGAGGTAAGAGAGAAGTGAGCACAGAGCTGCATGGATTCAGAGGCATAGCCACTGGACATGTCCAGGAAAGAGTCCTATGCTTGACTTTTCCAGATTAGATAGGAAAGGTGTCCTGCTCTCTGTGGCCTGGTACAGTAGCATCAGGCAGGTATCAAGTACTTTGATCCTAGAGTGTGTGGTTGGGGGTTATTTTTCTATTTTAACTTTTTCACTTTAAGATGTTCTGACTTTTTAAATGCTAAGTGGTATTTTGTGTAATTTCTTGTCCTTAAAATGAACTGCTACTGGTCTACAATCTATGCTTCATGTCTTGTACCTCTCCCAGGTGGTAGTGCTCTGGGATTACATGTTAATATCTCATGGGAAAATTGCTTTTGTACCTTAAGCTGAAATTAGGCAGGGCTGCATTTTATCTGCACATACATCAAATAAACAGACGTACTTTAAATATTTCAGACTTGGTGACCAGAACTCTTAATAGCATAAATCTAAATCAGAGGGAAGCAAAACTGATCTCCTGAGGGTCATAAATTTTGTTTTGTGTTAGAAGTGCCTCCTCTCAATGCAGGAAAGCAGCCAGGTGTGCTGTTACTTACAGGGTACCAGACTAAAGATCATTTTCAGAAGAAAATGACCCCATGTGACTCCAGAATAAAGTCTGTTTGGTTGTGTGCAGTAATGATCCACAGACATTCCCATGTCAAAATATGAAATATGATAATTCAGTGATGAATATCTCTCCTAAAGAAGCTGTAAACCCTCTGCCCGCCTCTTCTTTCTCCCAGCTTTCTTGCTAGGGGCACTGGGTGAAAGTCCCCAGACAGCACACCTGGGGTGTGCACCCCACCACTCAGCATAGAGGGCAAGTCTTTGCCTGTTTGCCAAGACCCTTCCTCCCTTTAAAGGAACCTGTGCAGTTACCTTCTTCATCAAGGCTGTCACTCACAGAAAGTTCTGTTCCCCACCCCCAACAGTCTTTCTCTATTTCACCCAGTTTGTGCTGTGATTCCCTGAACCTAACTGAGGGACTCTCCTCTTAGCAGTTCACCGTCGTAGACAGGCCTACAACACCTCAGCGAGTGACAGGTTCCTTTCTGGATCTGTCTTCATATAGCTCTTGGTTATGGTGATGGGTGACCCCCAGTCTGAGTGTCCTTCCCATGTTCCCTATAGACCAATCTCCTGCCATAATCTAGGAAGAGGCAACTCCATTCTTTGTTTCATATTTATTTCCCAAAATTCTCTGGGGTGCTTTTTGCAAAATGGGTGCAATAAATAAGCTGGACTATGTAAAGATACATAATAAGTTTTCCATGTTTCTTGGATAATAAGCATGTTTTGTTGTTACGTTATTTTAAGTATTCTTTATAGGAAAGCTGGCAAAATATAATAGAACCCTAGTTCTCCAGAAACTCAAAATCTGAGTCAACAGTGGAAGTTATTTTAGTCCTGAGATTTATTGTAATAGTGATAAAACATAATACTGGTTTTTTGTTTGATTGTATTGGGTTCTTTTTTTTTTTTTTTCCATTTTGCTTTGATTTGTGAGACAGGGTCTCCTGTAGCCCCAGCTAGCCTGCAACTCACTCTGTAGACCAGGCTGGGATTAAAGGCATGTGTCACCAGGCTCAACTATGACACATTTTTTAAAGATGTAGAATTTGAATTGCTTTGTGGTTTTTGATCTTTGCATATTGCTTGCTTTTTAAGAACAAGCTCTATTTGTGGTCATCTGAACGTTGTGGGCTAAATGCTCCTTTCTTTCAGAAACACCATGTCAACTCTCCTCTTTCAGTGCACAGTGAAGAAAACCCAGGTAACCTTCCATTTGTTTCTGTTTTTAAAAATCCTCCACTGGATGTGGCTTTTTACTCTGGGAGGGTCTGAACATGATCATGTGTCCTGACAGGATCACTGAAATTGGAATTAAGATGTTATACAAATTATAAGATCTTACCTAGAATGGGCTCTTACACAGTCACCCAAAGACAGTTTGGCATCTTAAGGTGTTGTCCTGAACTGGAGGACAGTCATCAGGGACTAGCAGTTTCTTCTGGTGGCAGTTGGGAGGGATCCCAGAGCAGCCTGCACAGCTGTTTTCACAGTTCTGTTGATGGCTCTGAGAGACCACTGGGTCCATGAGGACTTCTAAAATGCAGATGTGGGGTGTTACACTTTTGCTTTAATGTGAATGTCCAACTGAGGACTTGTGTTCATTTTATGCCTGAAAGTGCCTTCAAGAAATTTCTGCATGTTTTTAAGAAATATTTTTGTACACAATGGTAAAGGGGAAATGCACTTTAAAGTCACAGGATGGACTGGTTTTTTGTGGTATAAGAGAATGGTTGGCTTGTATCTGTCTCAAAAGCAAAACTGTAATAAAGATAGAAAAAACAAAACTGAAAGTGTTCTATTATTAATGCCAGAGGGGGTGAGTATTATTTTAAGTCAATGTTTTTTAACATACACATATTGGTTTTCCAAAGGTACAGGTCATATTCAGTGACTATGGAAAAACTGGAAGGCTTGCAGGAGGGGAAGGGGACTCTTGTCTTCTAGGCTGTCTAGCAGTGAAGAGGTGACAGCCTTCACCATCTGTAGACAAGTGCCAGGGAGGGGGAACATGGGCTCCTCAGCTCTTCCTACCCTCTCACTAGCTTTAGAACGGTAGAGGAGACAAATGTATTGAGACTAATGTATATATTCAGACTGTAGGAAAACTACCTGTGGCAGTCACAGCTTTGAACTGTTTGATGGACCAAATTCTGTATCCAGAAAAATAAACCAGCTCCTGGTGGGGACTCCCCTCTTAGCTGAATAACAGACATAAACCCTAAGTAAGGTTTTTCAAAAAGCTCAGAAGGGATGGAGGAAGAGAGGCAAGGGTAAACTGCCTGAAGCCCAGACCCATGTGTTGCAGGTGTGGTCCCCAGCACCCCGTGCTATTTTGAGAGATGGTAGGGAATTTAAGGGGTGGGGCCTAGTTGGAGGAAGCAAATCACTGGGAATGTGTCTTTGGATCTATTTCTTGTCCCTTGTCCCTACCTGATTCTATGTCTATCTCCTCCATCGCTGTCTCCTCTCCTGGCTTCCCTGAGTGAGCTACTTGGGGCCACTGTGCCCTTGGTTTTCTGCCTTACCACAGGACCACAGAAGTTGCGTAAGTCCACCATGAGCTGAGAATTCTGAAACCAGGAGCCAAAATAAACCTTTCCTCCTTTCAAGTTTCTCTCTCAGATATTTGTCACGGTAGTGCAAAACTAACAACTAGTCGTCTTTCCTAAAAATCTTAAATACTGCCCACAACTGCCTTCACAGAAATAAGAAGAGAGAAAAGTAACACTGCTTTTAATGAATGAAATTCAATATGGTTTTGTAATCGTTGCTCAATTGTGAAACCATTATCTAATCTCAGAGATGACTGAAGAAAAATAAAAATGAAAAGGAAACTACTTTTCTAGAGCAATGTCCCCAGATTAACAAGGGTCCCCTGTGAGCCATTCAACTGAGAGTTTGCTGCTCAGCTGCCATGCCCATGGCGGGGCTCAGTGCTTTTCAATCCAAACCTGTGTAAGAAACCTGCACATGTGCTCAGAGTCCTCTCGTAGACCTGAGAGCTACAGAAAGAACTTGGAAGTCAGACTCTGGGTTCTTACCTGCTCCACTGACATCTCAGCCCTCCTGTACTCTGTCAACTGCCCTACTGAAGAGGCCAGAGGGAGCTGAGCAGGAATGAGGGAACCAGAGTGGCTTGAGTACTTTTGAGATTAGTGGATGTGTTCATTTTTCAAAGACTTCTGAATACAAAGTCCTATAAGAAGGACCATGAATCACCAGAGTAAGCAGCCCTTCAGACTATTCTTGAGCTTTCTTAAATTTTCATTGCTCAGGCTTAAATAGAGTAGTAGAGAACTTACTCCATGGAGAAAGAGATGAAGGCTTACAGAGTTCATGTCCCAGGGTTCATCAGGAGGAAGAATATTTCCTCTCCTTCCAAGAAATACCTTGAACAAGAGTCAGTTTCACAGAACTGAGACCAAAATGGTGATGTGGAAAGCAGGCCTTCATGATGGAGCCATGCAGTTCCCTGGGCAGGAGTAGGCAGGGTCATTCTTATGCAGGAAAAACCATTTCCTTCTACTTCCTCTGCTCATGCTGGGACCACAGATTCACAAGCATATAAGGTGGAAGCAAATGAGTGAGTCCCAGGCAGGCTCATTGGATATCAGGATGCTACTGATGGTCAGAAACAACCAATGGGGCCTGTGGCAACCAAATTTCATTCTTCTTCTCTCCTGTTACCATCCCTTGGAAGGGGAGAGTGAGGGAATTTGAATAGGTGTTTCATGATGTTTCTATGGGATCCTCTGGCAAGTATCATGCTTGAGTTGATGCCATTCCACAACATTGCTATGCCTCCTACCTCAGGGTGGACCTTGGATTTGACAGAAATAGGGCAGGAACACAGACCTGTTCCCTGGGGTAAAGATATCAATAAAGATTTCAGATTCTGGTCTTCCAAAACCCAAAGCTATAAGACCAGGCAGCTAGATAAGCTATGGCAAGCTTTTACTGCAAAGCACAGGTAGTATATAGCTATTAGGTATTGCAGGCCATGCACAGTTTCTTCCTATTCTTTATTTTTATTTGAAGAATCTTTTAAATGTTTTTTTTAAGTCTATTCCTCATGAGCTATGCGTAAATAAGACAAGGCTGACTTTGTCCTGTGGCCATAGTTTGTTGAGGAGTGAAGTCAGGAGGTTTTTTTCAGACCCCCTCTCTCCTCAGGATAACCATGTAACATATCGTCCAAACTGGCACACTTTTGAAAGTGAGTGAGGGTGCTGCTAATGACCATAGAGTGTTCAGTCCGTCCTAGGAGAGTCCTTAGTGAAATCCAGCCTGCAAATCCTGCTGGTGCCCATCTATTCCCTGTTGATCCTGTAGGATCTCTCCAGGCCTTTGGAGAATGCAGATTGCCCAGGGCTGTCATGTACAAAAATCCATCTGGCAGATAGCGCTCTTTTTTGGATGAATTATAACAGAGTGGTGATTTAGCCTGTGGTTTCAATATGTTTTTGTTGGTTGGGTTTTCTGTTCTTAATTGTAGTGCTGATGGCCAAAAATCCTCTGAAAATTACAGTCAATTCAATCTTAACAGTAGCTTGTTTAGGAGGGAAGGGGTTATTAAGGGTTTGAGCTTATTTCCTACTACGGCCTTCCCCCCCTCCTACTCCACCCCTGTGCCCAGCATCTAGGGTATGGCAAAAGTCCCAAGGGAGTACTCACTGTGGACAGATGCTCAGGCCAGACCTAGCAGTGTTCTAAATCTGAGACTCAGAAAGTAATTCCAAAGCGATGGCTGGGAATTTTACCAGCTATGGACCCTCAACTCATACTTCTGTGGCCCAGCAAGTTCAAGAAGTCTTAAGCACCCAGGAGACTAAGGTGAGAATTCATCACAAAGTCTCTAGGCCTTTGCCCTGAAAGACCCCTCTCCTTTCCTGGTGACTACTATGAGGTATGGCCACAAATATTCAATCTTCTACATTTAGCTGCTTTCTCCAGAAGGTATTTACCATACCCAAGGCCTGAAGGTGGGGCCTGTTGTGTGGAGAGGACCCTCATTAGTGCTGAGGGAGCTTGCGAAAGTTTTTGGGAGTCCCTAATAGGTCAAAAAGTAACCATACCAGCTGGTGTTACAGCATTTGCCTGTAGCTGAGACTTCTTAAGAGAGAAAGAAATGCCAAGCATCACAAAGTTCCCTGCTGGGGTTGGTGAGAGATCAACCACTACTTCCACTGTGCTCGCCTCCAGAGCCCCTCATTTGATTGCCTTTTTTGGACATCTTGGTCCCTTTTAGATGTGATACTACAGAGGTGAGATTTTACTGGTTTTATAAATAAATATATATATATATCATTTTATTAGAAATTATTTTATTAACATTTTAGGTTAATATGCAGATTAATGGGTTTCATCATAATGTCTTCATACATATGTTCTGTTAAGACTTTGTTCTTATGCACTCTGCCTCTCCACTGACGTCCCGCTAATACCCCTTCCCTACTGTGGACTGGTTCCCTTTTTTCCTCCAGTTAGTCCCCTTCTGCTTTCTTAAACTTGTCCATTCCATTACTCTGTATTTCCCACCTCCCTTAAGATCTCATCCTTCCTTATTTTATTAATAATCACCATTGCTCAGCTATTTATTGAGCCCAGCATGAGATAGCCACCCAAATATTGTCATATGCACTTTAGAAAGCAGCTCTGCACATTTGCTCATGCAGCAAGCCTGTGTTAATGTGAATTCTACAGGTGCTTTTCACATCGCCTGATCAATTGCCTCACTGCCTTGGGCCCTCATGCTCTGTATGAAGGAAAGGACAGTATAGGGGCTCTGAAATGAGAAAAATCAAAGGAAAAATATTTTCTCTGCAAAGATTCCCTTCTGTACTGGTTGACTTCTCTGCTCTGGAATAGCAAGGCTTTGCTTCAGAGTTTCTGTAGGTGGGAAGCACTCTATCTTCACCAAGGCAAAGGGCAATGATGGATGAGTGGCGCTGCTGGCAGTGACTGGAGCAGGAGACAGTGGCGAAGGCACTCCTTTTGCTGTGCCTCTGGCAGCACCCACTCCCCATCTCAACTCATTGTCCCAGGTAGGGACACAGAGACACTGGCCCTAGTTGCAACCTCAGTGCTGTGCAAAGTAAACTCAGCAACAGAATCTTTCCTTAAACCAAATCTTAAGTGAGTCAAATATGCAAAATAGAAAAGGGGCTGCGGGGGCTGGGGGATGAAGCTCAGGGCAGAGTTCATGTGCAAGGCCTGGATTCAATCCCTAGCCCCCTAAAAAGGGAAAAACTGCCCAACATGAGCATTACTGGAAGCAGAAAACCACAAACCCTCTCTCTCTCTCTCTCTCTCTCTCTCTCTCTCTCTCTCTCTCTCGATTCCTGAGGCATCTCCTAAGCTCTAGAAACACAGGTTGAGAACCTTTTCTTAGAAGTAGGAGTGACACTACTGTTCCCTGAATGCAGGTGAAGGATGTCCAAAAAACCAGGACAAAAGCAAGCTGAATCAAACCTCCGTGGGAGGAAACACAGCTGTTTAGCTCCATAGTGCACAAATGGACTCCAGTTATGCTTTGGCTATATTATTGAGGATAATTACCATCTTTACCTCAAAATATATTTTGCAGAATCACATCTAGATGTCTTATGCCTACGTGACTTCCATTTACATTCATAGATTACAAAGCTTGGTAAGGCGACTCCTATTCCAGTCTAATAATACTACATAAATATAGTTATGGGTGTTTTGTGCACAAGGTTATGATTAGAGCTGAGGGTTCTAATGAATACTGGAAGAAAAAGGTATGTCACTATCACCAAGCAAT